TATGGCTACCCATCCTGACAAAACCAAGCTGGAGTGGATGAATAATGGCTACAGCGGCGTTAGCAACTCCTCTGTTGCAAACCACGGCATCCTTACGAGCTATCAGGAGCTGGTGGAAGACCGCTTCAGGAAGCCTCATGCTTTTGCAGTTCCTGGCCAGTCATACCAGTCCCAGCCCCGCCACCACGATACTCACTTTGGCCGCGTGACTCCTGTTTCACCCGTGCAGCACCAGGCAGCTCCTGTCAGCAGCACCACCAAGCAAGAGGGCTTTGCTGTTCCTGCTCCTTTGGACAACAAAGGAACCGGTTCCTCTCTCAACAACAGTCTGAGATGCCGGAGCGTGAGCCCTGCTGTCCATCGCCAGCGGAACCTCAGTGGGAGCACCGTTTACCCTGTTTCAAATATACCACGCTCTAACCTGACACCTTTTGGAAGTCCAGTGACTCCTGAAGTCCACAATGTATTTGCTAACATCCATGCAGACACCAGTGCCAATAACATAGCGCAAAGAAGCCAGTCAGTCCCGTTGACTGTGATGATGCAGACGGCCTTCCCGTCTCTTCAGAAACAAACAAACACTAAAAAAATAACCAATGTGTTGTTAAACAAACTTGATTCTGATAGTGATGATGCAGTGAGAGGTTTGGGAATGAACAACATGCCCTCAAATTACACAGCCAGGATGAATCTCACTCAGATTTTAGAGACGTCCGCCGCTTTCCCTAGTGCCAACCCGCAAAACATGATCAATTCCAGCACTTCGGTTTATGAATTCCAAACACCAAATTACCTCACAAAAAACAGCAGCACCGATCAGATCAGTTTTTCTTCTGGAGAAAACCAAGCACAATCAGACATCGGAGAGCAGCAGTTAGATTTTAGCAGCGCTGTAAAAGACATTTTAGGGGAGGACAGTCTGCCAACAAACCAGCAGCTGGTGAATCAGGTGGCATCAGATCTCAATAACGTTGCATCTGTCTTTTCCAGCGACATCAGGTTGTCTTCCGAGCTCTCAGGCAGCATTAACGATCTGAATACTTTAGACACAAATCTACTGTTTGATCCAGGTCGTCAGCAGGGACAAGACGATGATGCTACACTGGAGGAATTAAAAAACGACCCCTTGTTTCAACAAATCTGCAATGAATCCATTAACTCGATGACTGCATCAGGATTTGAGTGGATGGAGAGCAAGGATCATCCTGCTGTTGAAATGTTGGGTTAATCTTGTTTTATAATATGTATGTAGCACACTGTATCTAAGAGACAGACGTATTGTATTTGTCTTAATGGAAGTGCCTCCCGCAGCAGAAACACTTGCTATGTATTGTGGCATTTTTAAACAAGTTTGCTGTACCTGTTGCTCATTCTTCAGCAGGGAAAAGGCAGTCTTACCAGTTTTAAACCAACCGCTGAAGGTGATGGGCTGTCAAGGAGCCAGTGTTAAGATTTCAATTTCATAGTGTTTCCCATTCAACATTTCTTACTGTAGCAAATAAAGAAGTGGTTGATAGCCAGCCAGCAGTGGCAGCTGTGGTCGAGGCTTTGGGAAGGTTGGAAGTCAGTAGGCTTGCCAGGCTTTGCATTGCTTCTTACTTCTTAGTGGATGATCCTTACTGACCGTCGTTGTTCAGGTTTGAAATGCAGCGTGCCTGCAGATGGGTAGGTGCAGGGGGTGGGTACAAGTGAGCCAGGTCACTGACATGCAGGTGCCTGATCATTGTGTCTTGAGCACTGCTCAGTGGTGAACTGTGGGCAATCTCTGTAGCACTGGTGCCACTGGCGTCACTAGTAAGACACAGAGATAGGAAAAACTAACGGGAACGATCAAGGAAAAAGAAAGATGCACTAAATTTTTTATTTAAGAGAAATAAATCTATGTAGTTATCTTATCCATTAGTATTCATGACATACTTGATATTTTAGTTCTCACTTCAGTGTTTTTATATTAGGTAAAATTCATGAGAAAAGATTTTGAGCACTGAGATTTAATCTAGGCATAACACCCTATTTTAAAGTGATAGGTACTGTTTAATTATTTCTCAATGCTAGAGAAGGAACGTGATACTTTCCCTCCGTTTTTAAGAAAGAAGAGCTGCTGGAGCTCACTAAACTACTATTTTTAAAGATAAGTTTGTTAAGTTTGCTCTTTCCTAACCTAGTGGAGGCTGTAGGG